TGTTTTTTTGGAGTTAATTATTTCCTCTTTTCTTTTTTGTTTGTTTGCTTAATTTTCTATTATGTATTGTCTTTTTGTTCCTAGTGTATTACTTGGAGTTAATTATTTCCTCTTTTTTTTTTTTGTTTGCTTAATTTTCTATTTTTGTTCCTAGTGTATTATCATATCTTTTCACTGTCTGGCAATAATTGTTTCCAACTCTGAAACACACCAAATAATTCATCAGTTCTACTTAATATTTCCTAGAGACCTTCTGCCAAAGCCTTTTCTCTTGCTCCAGTTGAGACAGGCTGCTCTGGTCCAGATGTCCTGCTAGGGCCTTCCTTAGCCATTCTGATTTGGGGATTGTTTCTGAAAGATTATTTGCTAATGTGAATATAACTGGAATGAGGAAGCATTAATATTTTAAAAGAGAATCCTACATTATTTATATATACTGCTTCTATGTCCTGAATTCAGCAGCCTATGAGGTCATATAAAATGAGGTCACATTTGCTTTTGATGCCCAAATTATAATAGCTCAGACCTTCACAGTGTGAATGCAAGATTTCAGTACCATTAACTCTGCCAAGTGCCTCTTGAGTTTTGCTGGGCTCCCTAGTAAGGCGGCACTCACATGTGCTCTCCAACTGGTTTGTCTACTGATTATTATGTGACACCTGTCATATTCTTACTCTTCTTTTTAGCTTCCTGGACAATGCATTTGCAATTTGAAAATGCTGATAGTATCCCTCACTGTTGGTGGTACCTTCAAAAGATGGACTTTGTATTTACTAACGGTATTTTCTCATGCTACTGTCTTTTCCAAGAATACCAGGGGGGACTAGACTTGTTAGGAAACAATGAGAATGACTATTTCCCCAAATCTACACTACTTTCCATCTTTTTCTGTTGCTCAAAGTTGAGAGCTCTTTCAACTTCTCCTGTTTGCAGTTTTCTGCTTACACACTTCCTCATGTAAACCAGACAACCAACAATTACAACCAACTGCTCATCGTACACTTCCACAGGAACAACACAGAAGGTAGACTCAGAGACACACACATAATTTACTACCAAACTAGAATATTTAATGTTGATAGTTTAGTGATTTTCTCAAACCAGAGAAACAGTGTTAAAGTGAGATGAAATGTCTATGCATTCTGGAGAAGGAACGCTACTTGCAACTTTCAAAAAATGGGTCTCTTCTTCTAAACAATATTTTTAAAACCTTAGAGTCTACTCTCAATCCAAGCACCATATTGCAGTCTTTAAATATGTCCATTTACTCTTGGAAACCACCTAGAGATTTTATCCTTGGGAAAATATATATAGATATCTATAAGTAATAAAATGGAATTGAAATATTTTAGACTTTTCACTAGTTTACACTGGCCTTTCCCCCACGACATTGTTGAGCTTGCTGAGTTATCATTTTCAAAGAATACTTATAGGTAGAGGTATCACAACCGGGAGATTTGATAGCACACCATAACGAAGGGAAGATCTTTTCTTTTTGGGGTTTATGCTGCTGGTCTTTTGACCACATGAGAGAACGGTTTTCAAAATGAAGGTCATCTTATTGTAGGAATAAATTTCAGGGCATAGTATGCAAGACCTGTCGTCATCTTCCCCTAACTTCCTGTCCAATGCCATTTTTCTAGCCTTGCATTTTCTCCCTCTTTAATGTTTCAATTTTCTCCATTTAGTGGATGAGGTCAGGTATGTTAATGATTGACTCAACTAGAAAGAAGAGGTAGAGCCAGGATTTTTAAACCAGGTCAGTTTGACTTCAGAACTCTATCCTGTTTACCACATTGTCACATGTCCTTCTGGATGCTCTGGAGATATCCCTAAGGAAATGCAGCTGATCGGGGAGAAAAGCCATGTGGATTATCTGAGATTTCTGTGGCAGCTGTAATGGATTTCTAGTGATACCTGCTTTATGTTGAGGGAGGTTAGGGAGTATCCCGCATACAAGCAAAGCTAGTCCTAGGTTTTACTGTCCTTCTCCCTTCTAAAATGCCTCCCCCAACCCCTTCCTTTTTTGGAGAGAGGCCAATTAACTCACTTCTGATCCAATATTCTGTTCCCAATAAGTCACCCAAGTGGCAGACTAGGCTTACCTTTCCTATGACGTCAATTAACAACTTGAGGGACAGGGGATCATGAACCAAGGAGTCTGTGTAAAAAGAACCAAGGTATTTCTTTGGGTTAATTGTATTGTCCTGGGCACACAGATCTGGGCGCACGCTGAATCCATGGGAGATTCTTCCCACTGTGAAGGGGAAGGTACCACCTGCAAGTAAAAGACATTACTGAGAGACTGCTGTTCGCAAAAGATTTCTTTTTGTCCTGATATTACATGCAGGGAGAAGTTACTGTAGCCCAGCTGATTAGTCATATTTACAAAGGACCTATTGAGTTTCACATGCTGGGAGATAACCCAGAAGAAATGACGTGAAGTCCTCTAGAAAGTCAGTTTGGAGAAATTTATCCTAAGAAGCAGTGATAAGAATGTAAAGATATTGGTCAAAATTTTCAAATACAGTGTGGTTATAATATCGTAGCAAAATATGGAGACAACCTATCAGTGGGGAGAATACCTAATTCATGATAGCATAGCATAAAATATAATGCCATTTGTAAAGCCATTAAGAATGCTGGAGCTCTGTATTTATTGACTTGGAAGATGTCTTCTCTCTGCTGTTGAGAAGGAAAAGCAGGTTAGAGAACAACATGTAGAAGTCCGTGTGTGTGTGTCCAAGAGTTATCACTTCAGTTATCTACAGGGGCCAGGCAGGCTATGAAGATGAATGAAATAGATCTATTTATAAATTATTGTAGGGACTATTATAAATCCAGAAGTGGAACTTTGGTTCCCCCAACCATCATTTGACTAGAATGATTGCTGGAGAAATGTTATGGACTGAATTTACCCCTCCAACATTCATATGTTGAAGCTCTAACCCCATATGTGTATTTGGAGATGGGTCTTTAAGGAGGTAATTAATATTAGATATAGTCATGAGATGGAGCACCGATCAAATAGGACTGAAGTTTTAAAACTGTTTTAATTGCCGGGGGGCACGTGTGCTTGCCAGAGTGAGACAGAGAGATACAGTATTGAGAGGAAGAAAGCAACTCCCAATGGGGCATGATCACCCTGCATTCCTTTCACTTTCATTTTTCCATCTTGTCAGGATTTAGGGCACTCACACAACTGCACCCAGCATGTTTATAAGCCTCTAGGGCTAGGATTTGAACTGCAGTTGGCCATGTGGGATCCGGCTCCCTTAACCACTGGGCTATAGTACTGGCTCAGGACTGATGCTCTTAAGAAGAGGAAGAGACATAGAACTTACTCTCTCCCTCTTCTGCCCTCCTCACACCCTGCCTCATGAATGCACAGAAGGGCTGTGTGAGGTTGCAGCGACAAAAGAACTTACTCTCTCCCTCTTCTGCCCTCCTCGCACCCTGCCTCATGAATGCACAGAAGAAGGGCTGTGTGAGGTTGCAGCGACAAAGTGGTCATCTGCAAGTTAGGAAGAGAGCCCTCACTAGAAACCAACCCTTGTTTTGGATATCTAATCTCTAGAACTGTGGGAAAATTAATTTCTGTTGTTTAAGTCACCCAGTCTGTGGCGTTTTGGAATGGTAGCTCAAGCAGACTAGCACAGACAGGGTCTTACCTCCATGTGCAAAACATACTTTCAGTTTAGGAAATTTCTCAAATACGCCCCCCATGATCATGGAGCAAATGGCTATGGTGGTCTCTGTCGG